CCCCTCCCCCCTCGGGGATCCCTCCTCTCGGTCATATTTTTCCGATCGGAATTCCGGGGAGACGTATGTTTTTTCGGCCGCTTTGACGTTTTCGATCAAAACGGGACGCGCGCGACAAACAATGGGGAGGGATTTCCACGTCCACCAAACGCATCGTGCGCATAACGCATCCGATAATGACGATAGCAATTGTAATTTCGGCACGACAAAGGGCCTCTGTAAAATGGCGAAGGTATGTCCCCGCGCTCTTCGATCCGGGACGGCCGTCCAACAGCTTTTTTAATAAACGATGCACGTGCCATCGGCGTTCCAGCATTCACATACGCCAATGAATTTTTATCACGACGCGTCGTCGCATGTCGCGGCGTGTAAACATTTTTTTTTTTTACCCTAAATCGCGAATCCCCAATTATTCGCGCGTTTATCCCGTTATCGAGTAACGGGAAGCCCGAACGTCGTAATACCGATCGACGATGCACTATTACATTCAAAACTACCAGGCAAACGAGACGCAAAATATTTTAGGGATGTTGATTGAAATGAAAATTTTAATCGCCGTCAAAAAATTTCAGCCTACTTTGCATACGATAAATTCTCTAGGAGGTACGTTGAAATAATTCATAGTATCAGAATTAAATAGTTAGCCGGGTTAAAAAAAAAAATACACCAGCTGGTAGTTGGGATGTGAGATTTCGTTTGTAAAATTCTGTACGTAAAATTAATTTCGTAGGAAGGCAAAGCGTTATTCGCCGCATGTATCTTGAGGGTCGTAACATGATTTCCTCGTAGACATTTCGACGAAGTCGAAATAATAAACGACTTGGATCTGCGAGGAGGGTCGTAACATGATCCAGAGTACGCGAGTTCTCTGAAAATTCCACCCTTAGGACCGTGACATTCGAGGCGAAAGGGGTTGCGCGACTCTCGTAACGAGTGTCCTCGTTGCAGACGCAATGCGATCTTGAAAGAACTTCTTCCCATTACCATTGTGATACAGTGTTTTCTGGGGTGCTGTGTCAATAATCGTGCGAACTGCAAACGATATCGAAGCCTGAAACCTCGTTAAATTATTCAATTATGAGTCAGAGAAAGGAACTTCGAATTCGCGATGTGCATGAATTTTGCGGGAACGCGATCTAATTGGAACAAACGTAGGGGCAAAGAGGAAAAAATGGGAGACTTAATTCGAGAATGCGGCGAGATCATAAATTACTCCGAGAGATTCCCCGTTGACGTGATACAAGCGTCGAAACTCCGGTTCCTTCGCGCGAAGGGCGAATCGCAGGGCGATGGACTCGAATTACAAACGATGCCGTCGCCGGCAAAAAGGGCCGGGGGGGGCTTCCTATCCTCTGTGTTCTCCGTCGGATCCTTACAGATATTATCCGGCATATCGCGAGAGACGGACAACATTTATCAAACCATGCGCGCAACCCGTGGAAAGCCCTTTTCCTTTTCGATTTCAATCAACGAATGCCAGACATTCCACAAACATCAATAGGGTAGTTGAAGTAAGACGTTTGACCCTCTGACATTAATTTCTGATTTTCTTCGCTTTTATTTCGAGGCTAAATCTCGTAGAGAATTACTGCTACCTTCGTTATCAAGAGTACGGTATAATCGTGTAAATTGAAAATTACATCGCAAATGATTAATAGCTATCTCTTTTTTTTTTTCGTTTATAAACAACTATCATGTATTCACCAC